GTGACCATGACAGACCTGTCCCCCTGAGGAGGGCCTCAGTTTCTGTCTGTAAAGGCTTAGTCTACGAGGCATCTAAGGGTCCCTGAGCTCGAACCGCCTCAGCATCTAGGTCACTTTAGGGTTGGTATCCTTTCACGACCATTGTCACCGACACAAACACAAAGTCATCTTAGCCCTGTTGACTTGGCGTAGTGGTTACGGTGCTGGATCCTACGCGCCCGGCTTCATGAATCGAGCCCCAGACCCGGCATCTTGGAAAACACCAATGCCTGTGCGTGCCCAAAACCCTGAGAGGGGGTGACGGAGGGGTTGTGGCATGGCTGTCCCCCTGGGAGGAGTGGTTTTCACTTTCCTTCTCTCTCCCTCTCTCTCCCAGTGAGCGCACTCACCCTGTAGCAAACATTTTTTTTAATGTTTTTAAAAACATTTAAAAACACCTCCCTAGTGTGCCCCCCACTGCCCCCCTGCTTTCCTGTCTAGAAGTAGTTACACAAAGGGGTCTAGGCCCTCGCCCACGCAGCAACCCCTCGGCGCCCACGCAGCAACCCCTCGGATGTTGAAGACGTGTTTGTGTTTCTCCATCCTCCCCAGCCCAAATCCCTCCTCCGAACGTGTAACACCACGAACTAATTCTCCCTTTATAGCTATTAAAAATAAAGTTGGGGCCAGCGGGTGGTATGGAGGTTAAGGCAGCTGGATCCCACATGGCTACCTGCCTGGTTTGAGTCCCGGGCCTGGCATCCACTGAAACACGCCAGGTGCGTGTGCGTGCGTGCCCAAAATCCCAAGAGGAGGATGGAGGAGGAGGAGTTGCAGTGTGGCCGTCGCCCCTGGGGGGGGTTTTTCACATTGTCTCTCTCTCTCTCTGTCTCGTCTCCGGGGAAAGAGATTGGGTGTTCCTCTTTGCTTGTTCTTTGACAACCCAGGTGTCTTCCTTCCCGCTAGCTTCCGCAGAACCGCGGACCTGCCGGCTGCAGGACCACCAGCTTGCCCGAAACTTCTTCCTCCAGCGTTTCTGAGACCCCAGGGGAAGGCTTCAGTCCCACAGCCCGGCGGCCATGCTGACCCCGTGACCAGCGCCACCCTGGTCCAGAGCTCTTCTCCCTCCCCGTCTCTTCTTGCCATCTGGTGACCTGTTTCTCAGGCCATAGTCTCCCACTTCTGTCCCCAACGTCACCAGGGAGCCCATATCCATCTGGGTCTCTTCAGGAGCACAGAAACCTCCCAAGTCCTTCAAAGCGAGGGACTTTCATACGGAGGAGTTGGCTGTCCAGACAGGGAGCGCTGGGCGTCTGAGCAGGCTAGGAGAGGCAACCTAGGTTGTCACAGCAGGAAGCCCCTCTGTTCCTCCAGCAAGAGGGGAAATGGGGCAGGGTGTTGCCAGAGCCCCCCCACACTCACAGAGCTAGGGAGAGGGCTAGGGAGAGTCGGGCCGCCCAGCACAGAGCTAGGGACAGGGCTAGGGACAGGGCTAGGGAGAGTCGGCCACCTGCCCCATTGCGGAGATGCCTCCAAAGCAGAGACAGGGGACAGCTGCCTGTCCCCAGCTCACCCCCTGCCGCCAGGGCCTCCCATTGGCTAAACCTATCAGGAAGCAGTTGACAAAGGGTCTGGGAAATGTAGTTTTCCAAACTCCGGAAAATGACTGGCATGGGTCTGACCTATCCCCCCCAGAGCTCAGCTTAGATCTGGTTTTTGGTCACTCAGTTTCAGCAAAGGCTCAGAGCTGGGAGAAAACCATTTTGACACAGGAAAGAACAACATCACCATAGACGGTCCAACGTCCAGCCTCAGCCCCCTGAAGCCCTCAGGGCCCACCCTCCTGCTGGAAGCCTGGGCCTGCCCTAGTGCACCCAGGGCCAGCCAAACTCCGGCAGGACAGGGCCCTCTGATGGCCTCTCCCCTGACCCGAGTCTGTTCCACCTCCTCTGGGGTCCAGCAAGGAGGACACCATCTCCTAACCCCATCCCTCCGTGGACGTGAAGCCCACGCTGGTCTCTGCGGGCAGTGCTCATGGCAGAACGATGTCTGACCCTCACCGCCCAGACGGGCCCTTTCGTGGGCTCCGCCCCTCCCCAGCGCAGCAGAACCGCTAGAGCTGGAGATGGCTATTTTCCTCTCACCTGCGGCAGATCCCGGATCCAAAGGCTCAAGGCAAGCGTGCCTGGGCGTCCCCAGCCTCGCTAGGAAGAACGTGTCCCAACCCATTGTCCAGCACAGGTGACCCTCCTGGGTGGGGTCATCAGACACCCTGTATCTCCCGCCGGAACGAAACCAGGGAGTGAGGCTTCTCCTCGCCTACAAGGACGTTCTGCCATTTTCTAGGGGGTGTCCCTTGTCCTGTTGTTTTCCTCAGGGTAAATCCCCCGGGGATGAAATTATTGGGGTGAAGACGGGCGATGCCAGCTGCTCCTTGATAAAGCTGTGGATCGCAGCCTCTCCTCCTGATAAGCCCTGGAGCGCGGAGGATGAATCAGCCACCAGACCAGGTAAACGAGCCGGCCTGTCCCCATGCTGTGCTCTGCAAGACGGGAACACCCTGGCTCCCACCCAGAACCTGGAATTCCAGAGCATGCAGCCAGGCACCTTTGTCCCCAACACGCAGGTCCTGCCCTCCCCCTTCTCCCGCCCCGCCCCTGCCGGGTGGGGCCAGATGCCAGGGCGGCAAGGCTTCCCAGGGCTCCCTCCACGCACAGCCCAGAGCAGAGGCCAACGGAGGACCCATGCCGGCCCCATGAGGACGCTACTGACCATCCTGGCTGTGGGATCCCTGGCTGGTGAGTGCCCACCGCCCTGCGGCCAGACCTCCCCTCCCAGGAGCCAAGGCCCAGGGCCGCCCCCACAGAGCCTCAGCAGGGCCAGTTTCAGTTTCTTCTCTGCCAGAGCTGAACTGGGAGCTGAGTTCTCTGGGAGAGGCTGGGGAGGATGAGAGGGTACCTCAGACCCCGGGTGCTTCAGGGACCCCCTCACATCCAGGAGGATGTCAGGAGCTGTGTGAATGGGGGGTGCTGGGTCCCCGCACCCTAGTGGATGGACAATTGCCCAGGTAGGGGTGTGGGCACCCTCTGACCCCTCGGATCGTGCCGGTAGTCGCGCCATCCCTTCCCTACTTCTGCCTGGCCCTGGCCTGACAAGGGGAGGCAGAGGAGGGCCGGGGCGAGCACAGCTCGGAACCAGTCACTACCCCTCCCACCCCTGAGGCTGTCTTATGGAGCCCCTCTTGCCAGGGCTGCAAGCTCTTCCAGAGGAGCCGGGGCTGCTGCGCCAGCAGGCTAAGACCCCGGGCTCTCCGGAACGCAGGGCTAGGCGCGGTTCTCAGATCCAGTAGACAGGGCTGCCTTGGGCATTGCAGAGGGCGTTACTGAGGCCTGGATGGTGTCTGCTCTTCTGCTACGTCAAATGGAACCCAGGGAACTCCCAGGAAGCCACGAGGTCCTTGCTCAGTGCCAGATGCGGGCGACGGGACAGAGCCTCCCTGCCAACCCCTCCCCCTACTGCTGCGCCTTGGCCCCTCCATTCTTGCTTCCCTGGCATCCCACTAGTCAGTCCCCACATCTGGGCTCCGAGGACTGGGGAGAGTCCATGCACCTTCAAGAGACCTCAAGACATGTTCCTTTAGACCCCCAACCATTTCAGCTGCAATTCTTAGAGGCTGCTGGCCCGTTTGTTAATTGGTTTGGTTTGGTTTGGTTTGGTTTGGTTTGTTTAGAGATCTTTGCTATAGGGCATGTGCACTTGCCAAAGAGACAGAGTGTGACAGAGAGACAGAAAGCGAGAAATCACCCCCCAGGGGGATGGTCATGCCACAATCTCTTCTCTGGGCTTTGGGCATGCATGCATATGCTCCCAGTGTGTTTTAAGTTGGGTCCAGGACTCGAACTGGGGTCAGCTGTATGGCAGTCCAGCGATGTAATTAGTATGCCATCTGCTGGTCCCAAGGCCCCTGGCCCTTTAAGATGGGGGCCCCACAGGAAGCAGCCCTGAGGAGACTGCTAAGGTCACTCCCCACTCTGCCTGGCTCCAGCTCTCCCCTCCTTGCCCTGTTCCGGCCCCCAGCAGCCCCAGGCTGTCCCAGAGCTTGCTGAATTGCTCTGTGCATGTTTTTGCTCAGCTCCGCAGCCAAAGTAAGGCTGCTTTTGCACCCAAATGTGAAACCTTGCCCGGAGAAGGCCTGCCAGCTCAGGCTTTGCACAGCCCGAGTCTCCCAGGATTTCACAAGGTAGACTTTCACCCGGGAAGTGTGCGATGCCACAGGCGGGGACAACGGATTTGGGGAGGGAAGGGAGCAAACAGGGGCAGGGGAAAAGGGGAGCCCTTAGCCCCTCTTTCTCCCTAAAAACAGCGGTGGGGGCTGGCCAAGGTCTTCCCACCCACTTCAGGAATCCAGCTTCAGTCACTCTCGAAAGGTAGTGCCAACCTCTCCCCCAGCCAGAGACAGGGCCCTTTACCTCAGCAGCGTGCCCCAGCCCCAGCCTCACCGGGATCCCTCGCCACCCTCTGTCCAGGCTGCTGACCCCAACTAGCAACCGTTCCCACTGCAGCCTGCAGCCCACTACACCCTGGCCTTCTCTCACATCCTCGCTCTCCTGCCCTGATCCACCCCCAAGAAGCCACTACTCAGGGCCGACCTCGGCTGGACACTCTTCCTCACCTTTAGACCAGCCCTGAGCCCAGACCCCCTCTGCTGAGAGCCGACTGATTCCACCCAGACTCAGATCCAAACAAGGCAACAGCCTCAGCTTGGCTCGGCAGCTTGGGCGGAGCCAGGAAGACGCCCCATGCTGTCCTCAAGACCCCATTCTGGGTCTCCAGGAAGCCTGGGAGCTGAGATCTTTGCGTCCAGCGCAGACCAACCCAGGTCCAGAGAGGAGAGTGCCCTGGGGTTTACCCAGTGCTTGTGTGAAAGTGTGTGTGTGGGGGGCCTGGACCACTCTTGCAGAAATACCACACTAGCCTCGGGGCCTGCTGGAGGTCGTGGTCACATCTAGGGCAGGGAGGGCACAAACATCTCAGAGACACACATGCACACGCAGTCTCGGCCATGACCCACTGGGTCTGCACCTGTTGGTTTCCCACCCAGCCAGCCAGGCCCTTCTGAGCATGCTCAGAGCCAGCCACCACAGCTGCAGCTCGGGGCCCTGGGCAGGGTCTTGCAGGTCCAGGGCTCTTCCTTGGCAGTGAGGACATCCCAGAGCAGTGGGCCTCCCGGCCCCTTCCAGCAGGGTTCTGCAGCCCGTTCCTTGCCATGAGTGGGGTAGCTGGCTCGGGCCAGGGTGGGGAGCTGGCCATGGGTTCCTTGAGAGCCTCTCTCTCCCCACCTCCCCTCATCCTCCTACCTGATCCCTTTACCAGGGCTCAGGTCCAAAAGCCCCTATGAAAAAGGGGGAAAGGACAGTCCCCTTCCTACTCTGACTCTCCTGCTTCCCCAGGTCCCTTCCCCTAGGACCCGGCACGTACACTGAGGACCTGTGACGTGTGAACACTCACGGACGTCGCCCAGCGTGTCACACGCTCACGCGGACACGGGGTGGCCGCAGTATTTTATCTGTAGCACAGAGACAGTGACCGTAACCACCTCAGGTTACTATCAGGTTGTCATGAGAACTAAGTGACCTTAGCGGCTTAGCCAGGTGCCTGCCCCATACACAGCTCACAGAGGCAGCTGCTGTCGTCACTGCTCGCCTTTAGACCAGCGGGATTGTCCCCACTTTAGAGATCAGGAAATTGAAGTTGTTTTTTTTTTTTAATTGCCAGAGGGCATGGGGGTTTGCCAGAAAGAGACAGACAGAGGGGGAGGAGAACGCACCACTCAGTGAGGCCCGGTCACACCAGATCCCCTCTCCTCCATTTCTCCCTCCTGCTGGGACTGGGCACACACGCACACATGCCGGGTACGTGTCTGAAGCTTCTGGGGCCAAGATTTAAACCGTGAGGTTGGCCAGGTGGGATCCAACTCTTTAACCACCAGACCACAGGGCCAGCCCAGGAATCGAAGTTCTGATTGTTTAGCAACTTCTCCAAAGCTGCCCGTGGCCTCTGTCGGGGCCATGTCACTGCAGTCTGAGTGACTGCCCCAAGTACCTTCCAACAAGGCGTGTGGCCCGTGGGCGGAGAGCGGCTCGGTGCAGAGGGCCAGAACCACAGGCGCCTCCACCGCGGTTAGAAATGCTCAACCTTGGGCAACTTTCTTCTAGGCATTTCAGTTGAATATCTCTAACATAGGGGTAAGAACAGCAACTTCCAATGAGGTTAAAAAGTGAATGAGAGGGGTTAGCACTGAACTCCCACATGGCCAGCCATGGTTTGAGTCCCAGATCCGGCAGTTTGAAAATCATGCTGGTGGTGTGTGCATGCATGCCCAAAATCCTGAGGCGAATGGAAAAGAATGGATTGTGGCATGACCATTACCCCCGGAAGGTGATTTCTCACTTTCTCTCTGTCTCTCTCTGGCAAGCGTACACACTCTATAGCAAAAACTTAAAAAAAAAAAAAAAAAAAAGAGGAGGTCAGCAGGTGGGGTGGTGGGTAAAAAAAAAAAAAGAGGAGGTCAGCAGGTGGTGTGGTGGTTAAAGCGCTGGAATTTCACATAACTGATTGCAGTTGAGTCCCCAGCCTCAGCGGCTTGAAACTCAGGCCAAGCACATGTGCCCAAAATCCCAGGAGAATGAAGACAAGATTGTGGCATGGCCATCCCCCTAGGGGGTGACTTCTTACTTTCTCTGTCTCTGTCTCTCCAGCTAGCGCATGAGCCCTATAGCAAAAATCTCTCCAAAAAAGGAAAAAAAGAAATAATGAAAGACAATTACAAGTGTTGACAAGGATGTAGGAAAATTGCTGGTGGTCAGGGCCGGCAGGTGGCATGATGGTTAAAGGCACTGGACTCCAACATAGCCAACCGTGGTTTAAGTCCTGGACCTGGCAGCTGGCTTTCTCACTTTCCCTCCCTCTTTCGCTCTAACCCTCTCTGGTCAAATTTTAAATAATAATAATAATAAAGTCAGGTAAAACGATTCTTTAAAAAAAAAAAAAAAAAACTGCTGGTGGGAGTATAAGATGTGGCACCTCTTTGGAAAAAGTTAAACATAGAATTACCCTGTGATCCAGCAATTCCCCACCTAGATACGTGAGGGGTCTTTGAAAAATTTCATAGAAAATGCATATCATAGAAATACTATGCATAGATTTTTTAAAAATTTTGTACCAAAATAAACTCATACTTTAATTCCATTTTTTTCATGAACTTTTAAAAATCTCCTCTATACCTAAAAGAATGGAAAACACATGTTCACTTAAACACTTGTACATAGAGCTAGCCCAGTGACCTTGTGGTTAAGGGAGTCAGATCCCACATGGCTGACCATGCGGCTCAAATCCAGTCCCCAGCAGCTTGAAAAACACACCAGGCACATGTGTTTGCGTGCCCAAAATTCTGAGAGGAGAAAAAAACAGAAGAGCAGGTATTGTGCTGTGGCCACGCCCCACTGGGAGGTGTTCTCTCCCTCTCTCCGTCTCTCTGTCTCTTCCTGGTGAGCACATGTACCCTCAGTTGGCAGATGGGGATCTTGTGCACAAATGTTTGCAGCAGCAGTATTTTTAATAGCCACAAAGTAGGAGCAACCCAAACATCTATCACCTGATGAGTCGATAGACAAGTGGTATATCCATACAATGGAATATTACTCAGTCATGAAAAGGAAGCAAGGACAGCTTTGTGCCACTATATGGATGAGCCTTGAAAACATGATGCTGAGTGAAAGAAACCAGACGCAGATAGAAAACAAAACCCTATTTATATGAAAAGCCCAGACTAGGCAGATCCACAGGCAGAGCGTAGGTTAGCGGTTGAGGGACTAAAGGGAGGGGAGGGAGGGGGAGTGATGGCTACTGGAGACACACTTTCTTTTCAGGGTGGTCAGAATGTTCTGGAATTAGCCAGTAGTGACGGTGGCACAACACCGCAGCTACACTAAAAGGCCCTCGAACTGAACGGTTAAAAGGTAACTTTCGTGGAGTGCGAATTGGTGCGCACTACGAAGGAGAAAAGGAAGGGAAGAGCAGGGCGTGTGGTCGTTGGCGTGGTCTGGCAAGTGGGCTGTTAGCTTTGCCCACTCGGCTGAACGTTTGCTAGAAGGCTGGGGGCCCGAGCCCGGAGCCTGACTGCTCACCCTGCTCACCCCACCGCAGCTCCCATAGCTGAGGACACCTCGGATCTCCTCCATCACGTGGAATTCCGATCCAGCAACTTCGAAAACATCCTGATGTGGGACGGCGGGCCCGCCACGGTCTACAGCGTCGAGTACAAGATGTAGGCTTCCCTGCAACCCGCCCTCCTCTGGCTCTGCTCTGGGGCAGCCCCTCCAGGAAAATGTGCCCCTGCTTCACATGTCCCCGTGTCCCTCACCCAGGCTGGTACCTCATAGCTCCTCCCTCTTCCTGTCTCTGGCTGAGGGGAGATAAAATAACGCTTCAGTACAGGCTCTGGAGTCAGGCTGTCGGGGCTGGCACGCCGGCTCTCACCTAAGGGCGGGCGGGACACCACACCAAGCCTGTTTCCCATCCATGAAGCGAGGGTGAGGACATACCTTCCTCAGAGAGGGCGTCGTTGGACCGGGTGAGATATTAGCACTTGCGCCTGGAAATAATAAGCTATTGTAGTAATGGTTTTATTGTCGGTAAGACTAGGTTAACAGACAGTGGTGCTGTCCCCCACGACAGCCTGCCCCGCCCCACCCCACAGCCCGCAACCCTGTCCCTGCTCGTCTCTCTTCCCACGCAGGAGGGAGAGCTGGCCCAGGTTCAGGAGAAGCAGTCCTGGGTTCCATTCCCAGTCCTGCCACTTCATCCCATGACGAGTCCCTTCTAAGCCTCAGTTCCCTCATCTGCACAGTGAGGGTGATAGGGCCGGCCTCAGAGGTTTATGCAGACGAGGAGGCCAGACGTGCCCTCAGACTGGGTTCAAATTCTAGCTCTCTACACGCTTGCTTTAAACACTTGGGTACGCTTTATTTTTCTTAAAGAGTTTTCTATTTACTCTTATTTATCATCATTATTTTAATTTTCTATAGGGCACATGCACTTACCAGAGAGAGACAGAGAGAAAGAGAGAGAAGGAAAGTGAGAAAGCAAGCCACCAGGCCTGGGATTCGAACCACAGTCGGCCATGTGGGAGCCCAGTGCCTTAAACACCACATCACCTGCTGGCCGCAGGGTTCACCT